GTGGAGTATTTCATTCACACGTAAAAATGTGTTTCGATGTCACTGCTTCCTCTTGTTACTTTTTTCTTACTCATTAGTATGTCTTTCTATTTTTTTTTCACTCGTTCTAATGAGAGAGATGATTGGTAAATTATTAGGTACAACGACTCTATCATTGTAGGCATATAATAGTTGCCTCTTAAAAAGCCATGTGTATATTGTATACAACGGTTCACAAGTAGCCCGAAGTATTCCTAGCGATGCGATCAATTCTAGATTTTAGAGTCAGACTTTAGAGTTGACACTAATATGTATACACACGTAAGTCATGTCCTGGCAAAGTCCAATTTCTTGAAAATCAACTCTTTTTCCAGATTGTGTGACAAGTCAGTACACGTGCAGACAAACTTTTGTGATATTCTGAATGGTACCAGATATCAGGTATATCACCTTGTAGTAAGCCAAGCAGGTACAGTTCATAAAAAATGAGGGGCAGACACACGACGCACGTCAGAGGCCACAGTTACACCGACTGGCACACCGGTTCTTGTCGGTCCAGATGTGTTTGAAATAAAATGAGGGTTTGAACTACCACCCTGCCACGGTAACTCCACCCACGGGAAGCGAGGCGGAAGAGCCACGCCCACGTTTTGTTGTTACGTTGGTCGGCGCCTGTTTGTATCGTTGACGGAGTTCCGGTCTTACGACAAAGTGTGGTATGTTTTATTCTTGAACTATGCATGAAGTAGTGATGTTGCTGTTCTTAATTGGATTTCAGTTCTCATCAACACTTTTTAAACTGTTATGTTATATTGTCTTTCTTTTGCGTTAAAAAATCAGCTTCCGACGCCAGCAATTAAGGTGACAAAGTTTTATCCTTAATAATCGAAAACTAAACTGTTGTTTTAATATGTAGAGAAAATTCAGGTTTTACTACCAAGAAACACAGAAGCGGAATATCCAACCCACGAGGAACACCTCTCTTGAAAACTGTACCCGAGCAATAAATCCAGCATAGGGGTAACACTGCTGTACTGCCTTATTCACGAGGTTTACCTTAAGTGGTGTTGACCGCGACATGTATGAAACGCCATGTAACATGTCCACACAAACGAATGTATAATGATGTTGCTCATACTACCGGAACCACCCAACCACAACCATCAAAATAACGTTAACACTGTATCCCAAGAGCTCACATTGGTAAAAAAAAAAGCAATAAGCTCGACCTCGTGTAACCACAAAGAGCCTGCTAACAACAACAGTCAGTTACTCCCTTCATCTGAATATCCTCTGAGGCCAAGTTATTGTCTCTGCTCGACAAAATATAATATCCAATACAATTATTGTAACCACTTCCATGCCTCCACAGCATATGGAAGCGGTGGGGATACAGTATACGGTTTTCTAACGTTATCTACCAGTTACAGCCCCAGTTCGACTTTTGAAATGTGGCCGGGAGCCTATGCGTCTGCGACAGACCAGACTCCAGATGATCGAAGAGGCCTGCAATGGTGAAGATGACACCGACAAACCCTTTAACCAGCAAGAACTCCAGATGCCGATAAAACGAAGCAAGGACACAGCACCAGGGGCCGACAGGATAACCTACTCCATGCTTTCCCATGCCGGAGAAGCAGGGCACGAGGCTTTGCTACAAGTCATCAATGCTGTGTGGATAGCGCAGAGACTTCCATCGGAATGGAAGAAGGCAGATATACAGCCCATTCAAAAGCCCAGAGAACCAGACAAACCAAGACCCATCTCCCTCCTCAGCTACATAGCAAAGACGGGAGAAAGAATGGCTCTCAACAGACTCAAGTGGAAAGTCGGTAGCCCACACCCTCACATTTTTGCTTACACCAAGAACACCGGCACAAGCAACAACATTGCCGAGATACTCAGCACAGTGAACAATAAACCAGCTTTGGTGGTCTTCCTCGACTTGGAGAAGGCCTTCGAGCTAGCAAATCCACTGGCCATTATAACGACGCTCGCCGAAAAAGGCGTCAAAGGAAGGTTGCTGGGGTGGATCCAGAACTACCTTACACAGAGAGAAGCAAGAGTACGCTTTCGGGGGGCAACGTCAAGCTACAGGGTCCACGAAAACGGAACCCCACAAGGAGGAATCCTCAGTCCAACGCTGTCCAATGTGCTGATGGAAAATCTGGTCAGACTTCCTTTCAGACAAACAGCCAAGCTCCTCTGCTATGCAGACGACTTACAGCTCATAGTAAGAGGAGCAAACAGACTAGTAAACACGCACTCCAAGGTCTTATAAGAAGGTCGTTCAGCTATCTAGACAGTCCATCCTTCGTTATGATCTTCAAAAGTGAGGTGCTTCCCCGCCTGGAGTACTGTCACCCTGTCTGGTCCCCGAGATATGCTAGGGACTGTCAGCTGATTGAAAATGTCCAGAGGGCCACCAGACTGGTGCCTGCACTACGGCACCTCAGCTACCCTGAGAGATTAGAGCGCCTGAAATTGCCTAGCTTATACTACAGACTAGCAAGGGCCGACCTAATTGAGGTGTACAGTTTAAACAGCTCAAAGGGCACTACTCAGTCGAGTAGGCAGCTATCAAACAGGTAGGTACTACCGCCTGGGAAGATATTGGAAGCATAATGCGTTGTCTAATGGTAGACCCTGCTGCCATATGGCATCAAAAAAATTGTGACCAAGTCCCAGGTTGCTGATCTGACTTTCTGCCTCATTTACACACAATTGCAGGGTCTCAATTGTTTCTCTAACTTTGACAATACAACATACATAATGTATATCGTTTCTCATTCTTGATTTATTTTTTTCGTTTTTGTATTTATTTATGGTTATTATTAGTTTTAGTACCGGGTATACTATTTTCATTTTTAGTATTTTATTATTTTTTTTTAATTATTATAATGATAATAATAGCTGTTATTATTATTTTTCGCCCCCCCGGCCCTGATGTGGGTCAGTGACCTGCACTCGGTGGGCTAACCCCTAAAAAAAAAAAACCTCAGTCGTGTCCTTACCTGGAACTGGCAGACGCTCGCCCCACCGATCAATGGTGAAGAGGATAAAAGTAAAAAAAAGTAAGGTCCCCCTCAGCATTGCCTCCAAGCACCAATATAAGGTGGTTCTTGGCAACCTTAAAACCTGGTGCATTCTTCTCCTTGGCCAGGAAAGTCCTCGATGGCATCCTCTTCCAAAACAGGCCCGTCTCTTCAAAGTTCAGGACCTTCATGGCGTTGAATCCTCCTTCCTCCACCTTAGACTTCAGGGGTGCCAGGAAGGCGTCAGCACTGATGACATCAGCACTAGCTGCCTCACCAGTCAGACAAAAGTTGTGGAAATTGGTGCAGTTTTTGAACCACTGAAACCACCCAGGACTTGCCTTGAAAAAAGAAGAGACCTCACTGCCACTGCTGTCACCACTTTTTGCCTTCAGCTTCGTCCAAATAATGGTGGACTTGGCCATGATGATTCCTGTAGGCTTTTTGGGGCCCGAGGCAAGACATGATTTGTGCCCCCCACCCCTCCCATTTCACGGAAAAAACGTCCCCATCCTTCCCCTCAAAAGGAAAGCAAATCAGTACTAACAATTTGTTGTTGCTGCAATTTATTATTACTTTAGTAATTTACATATCATTAATATTTCTAAAATCTAGGATCTAGAATTTTTGCTTCTTGGACAGTACAGTATCATTATTACTCTTTTTTGTGAACCTGACCGACATCTGGGTTGGAGTGTCTGAGCACACAGTAGAAGAGGAAGGGGGGGGGGGTAGTTTATTTCCTTCGTTGGTTTATTGTAAATACAGTACAGTACTGTACTTTCTTAAAAAAAAATATATTATCAAATTGGATATGCTGTATACATGATAACTTGCAATAATTTTAAATTTATTTTATTAATTCTTTGAGATTAGAATTACACACCACTCACTGCCTGCTATGTTTTTATTTTGAAAATCTTATGAAGAATAATGTATATTAATTTTCACATCTATAATATATATATATATATATATATATATATATATATATATATATATATATATATATATATATATATATATATATATATATATATATATATATATATATATATATATATATATATATATATATCTTGATAAAATCACACATGTGATTTTATCAAGATTTATCTTATCCACGTTTTCATGATCTATATGTATATATATATATATATATATATATATATATATATATATATATATATATATATATATATATATATATATCACAACCTGAATAACAGACAGTGCACTCAATGAATCCCCAGTTATGACAAAAAAATTCTGCTAATAATTAACAATAAATACTAACTTAAGACAAAATACATTGTAATCACTTTAATCCTTCATTCAACTAAGGACATTTGTTAGTCAATAAGTATGATAATTCCATTTCTAAACCTGTATGTTCAAAATTCTCCAACAGACAAATTATTTATGGGTAATAAAAATTAACTTTAAACGAATACTGTATCTTATTCCCCCTGCAAAAAAAATATAATAATAATAGTAATAATACAGTATATACTGTAACATACATATCAACACATGTAATATAGAAAATGGTCACTACTATAGTACTTGAAAATAAATGACCAGATACAATTTTACTTACCTTAATAACAGCCCAACAAAGAGGGCAGATGTTCAATGATGTAGTTAAGATAAACACTATGATACAGATCTTAATAAACTACTTCTTCTATTTCATTCAAAGTGTTTAATGTGTGAAACGCCACCAAGATGTCGCACCTTCATGAAGATGCACATATTATATGATAATCAGGAGATATTATACTGTAGTTGCAATGTCTATGCATAATAGAACAACTCTGCTACGTATTTGGATGGAATAATACTGTATAGATTCTCTAAGGACCAGGTTAAAGATACATGTGTACTGAAATATAATTCAAGAGTAGACGGGGTTAATTCTAATACAGTTCTGTATATCAATTCCAATTTAATTAAAATATTTAATTTTCATATTAAAAAACAAGGTTTCATAACCAATTTATTTCCATACAAGTTGACAACATACACTACTGTCTACTACACACTAACAAATCATGTTAAAAGCCACACAATTGTTCATATCATTTACATCTTTATCATTATTCACTACTAAACAGTCCAGACCATGGTCGGATCCAAACCTCAAATTTGACCAATACAATCTTTCATGTTTTGTAGGTGCAGCTAGCCCGATTAAAAAAGTCCAGGGAACTTTACACCCCATATCTTTAATAAATAATTAATTAATATTTACCTCAATAAATGTACATTCAGCCAAATATTTCAACCTATATGTATTCATAAAATATAATGAAATAAGGCTGTACAGTATATAGTTATAGTTTTATTGATTGGCACAATACATATTAGAGCATTAATACAGTGATTACATGTCACTAAAATGATTCTCAGATGGACGATTTCTTCCCACTTGGACGATTCCCATAAAGACGATTATAGCTAAAAACCGCCCATAGATCACAAATTCTATATGAAATACTGTGTATAATATAGGAATACAGTATATTATGAATTACTGCATATTAGTCTGAATGAATCATAGGAATGAGTTATATTACGAATAACAAAATACATCATAATCTATATCAGGAAAGTTTTGTTATAAAGATTACTGACTATTTCCTTCCAAACTCATGACCTCACTATTTCCAACTGTTTTAGCCTTGATGCTATTATGAGGTCACCTTAAGTCAAGTGCCCTGACCACAAGTCACGTGAATATTAAAGTCGTCAACCTGACTTAGTGACAGGACCTACAAATTCAGTACAAAATCATATCAATCTGTGAAATTTATGCAAGGACTCCCTAAAATAAACAAAGGCAGCTTTGATATATAATAATGTTAAAAAATGATTATTGAACTGAACCTAGATATTCAATATATAAAGTTCAGAACAAAAGGTAATTTTTATATGCAAAACCTCTCATATTACTGAAAGGAAATAAAATAATACAGAAAGACATACTGGTAACACAATACTGTAGGTTTCCAATATTGTATGGTAGTCACCAAAAATATAAGCACTGTACATTTCTCATCTATATCTGCTTTGATCTCTAATTCCCTCTTCCCCCTAATGGGATAATCTTGCACAAAAAAATTCTCAAATATTTAAACAAACTGGAAGTGATGAATCTTATAGGAGTACTGAGACACACCTGTTGAAATATGATGGTTTGACTACAACACGAGTGATTCCACTGAGAAGTAAGCTCGTGTGGAAGGCGGTTTTCTCATAAAAAAAAATAAAATAAAAGTAGGTAAGAAGCCCTTTTACATGAGAAAATAAACAGAAAATGGGTAAATAGCTGTCCCTTTACACAACTCAACCCTATAGCATTTGACAAGTGGTGGAAGGCCTTAAAATGGCCCTGTAGTGTTACTTACTAAGACTAAAATAAAGGAATAGCAAAACAGTTTATCGTATCAAAGATACCAATTCCCCTCCTTTTGTGACATGGGGGAAAATCTGAAAACAATTCTCTGAACGCATACTCGTCTAAAAACAGCCTATCTCTCAACATTATACTACATTCCTTTCTTATCCTTAACGGAAATCTTTTCCAGGTGCCAAAATTTTTATAAAGCAAATATATAACCTAACTAAAATCCTTATAACCTCACACTATTTCTAGTAGCTTTGGTTATTATCATTCAAGTTCTGTTGAACACTAAACATGTACTTTATTATATACAGTATTCTTATAAAACTACTTACAATCTCTTTTACTTGACATTCATTGAATACATACAGGTACTATATCACAGATATATAATTATTAACACAGGCAATTTAAGCCCTCGAGGTATTCCCCATTGCAACTGTACAGTATGTGTAAAAAACTCAAGACTACTTTATTTCTTTGAGTCAGTCAGTAAAATAAGTATCGACTACACCAAGGTCGATGGAATAGAAAAAGTGCAATAACAACCAACTGACGCTGGTAACCAATCACACGTTTACAGTTTTTGCACAATGTTTCATATTGTTACACATGACAAGGGGGTTGATACTTTTTTAATAACTGAACAGTACTAGTAACTTTTATGTCCTTACCTCTTATTACAATGTTTCCTTTAGATTCAGAATGGGAAGACGAAAGAGTAAAATGACAAGAAATCAAGATATCAGATAAACCAATGGAAAGGACATACATAAACTTTACTAGAGCAAAATGAGTGAGAAGCGAATTGGAAAGAAAAGGAATGAAAGAGCAAATGAATTCTAGTTGGAATATAGTACGTATACAGTATATAGAAATTAAAATAATAAGATTTTAACTTTTATCACGATGGCACTCTTGAATATCTCATAATGCTGTCTACATTATCTACCAATGAATTACTGAAGACACACTGTATATTTGAAGCAGACATCTGAACTGAGAATATACATATTTTCATTTGTCAAAACATATGGTCACATCTACGAATGTAAAACATTAATACTTACAGAAACACCTGTAATAATTATTAATAAGCAAATTATAGTGATGTGCTTAATTCTTAATTTATTTTTCAATGCAAACAGTTGTCCTGATAATGCAGTAAAGCTGTAACAACAATACAGTTATCTATATGGAAAAAATGAGAGAGGAGAGGAGAGAGGGATAAGGAGTCTAGGTCTTACAATTATCATTACTATCCAACTGCTAGCAAAGTTCCATCATAAATCCTCAGCCTCTTCATCCATACTTAGAGGGATATAAGATGGTAATCTCTGTGGAAGTGGTGCCCTCTGTAATCTATACATGTCACTCTCTGTGGTGTCAGTTGCATTATCTACACATTCCAACAGACTTTTTTCTTTATTTTGTATTTTTGTATTACCCTGCATTTTGTGAATTTCCTCCCTATTACCAACAGTACTTGGCTGATCTGTTTTATCAAATGAAAGATACGTTTCTTTCTTAACATTATATCTTTCATAATTTTGTGGGTCAGTTTGTACATCTACAATGTTTTTATGAGCACTGTATAAGTATTTAATTTTGTCAACTTTCTGTAATATTCGTTGCCTAATTTCCTCCAAGTCTAATGTGTTTGAGGATTTATTATAAAACAAACTTCCTTGTGTCTTGCCATACTCTTCTCTGCTCTCATGTATGTGTGGCATTTGCTTTTCTTGGAGGGTAATGGCACAAGCAACAAATGACTGACTGCTGGTGACTGGTGTACTGTTATCTTTTTGTTTATTCAATAATTTTGTCTCTCTATTTTCTTCCTCTGTTTTTACACCATAACTTTGGGTACATTCTGAGACTGTTTTTTGTTTCTCTTCATCATCATCTTCTCCGTGTGTGGGAATATGAAAGTACCTCTGTTTGACAACTTTGACTGCATTTTCTTTAAATTTCTTTTCTGTCCTCCTCTTTACTTTTAATTCTCCAAGTACATCTGTACTTTCACTTCTCTTTCTCTTTCTGTACAGAAAACTAAAATGTTTTTTATTTTCTCCATCAGCAGGTTCTAAAGTAACAGATTTTCTGAACTTGCCTCTTCCTCTGTGATGAGAAAGTGGACAGGACAAACCTCTTGGACACTTACCTGTTCTACTAAACTCCTCACATACCAAAACATGTTGTTTCTTGCACTGAAAAAAACAAAGAAGATATAACTGAATACCATTAGGCAATAAGTATACTGTACAATAATTGCAATGACATAAGGCAGGCCTAATGAGAGTAACTACAGTAAAGCCTCGAATAACGACGGTAATGTGTCCTCCAATATTGCAGTGTAAGGTGAATTATTGTATCGCCAATCATTAATTACCATTAAAATTAAGCAATAATAATGAGATGCGTTCCCAAGTGTGACCTTTTCATAACTTTTGTGTGGCTTTTTACCCTCTTTTCCCCCCAAAACAATACAATTATAGAGATCCCCTTGTACTGTACTATAGGACCATTTACCTGACATTCTGGCATCAGGAAAGCTCTTAAAACGGGCTTTGTTCTTGGACAAATTATTTAAAATGAGTGCCAAGTAATCCCAGGGCGAGGATATTTCCAACCATGCCCCAACTGTAAGCTGTGTGGTGAAAAATGTACTGATGCTTAAATTTCATATACGCCTCCCTGTACTATATACAGTATTACATTTAGAAGGAAATGAATCAAACCTTCAGTGTCAGGTAAATGGCAAGATTTTACCATAGTCAATCAAGAAACAAGTTCCTGTAAAGAACCGATGCCTTGATGATGCCACTAATGTTTATAGTCACTACACCTGTGCTGAAGCAGCTAGTCATGTGAACTGACCTTGTTTCAAACAGTAAAGGCTATATATATCATCATGCCTTTTGCACTGACATTACATTAAATAATAAGTATTGTTTTTATTAACATTAGATTATGAATTTAGGCTGCATTGTTTACTAGTACTGATGGTCAGTGGGACGGTTGGTGAGGACTACTGATTAGTGGTCGTCTTATGCAGCGAGTATAGGCAAAACTTAAATTTTAAATTTGGGGTCGTCTCGTACACCAAATCACTTTGTATGCCAGTACATATGGTACTGGAGGGAATTCAGTTTCAGAGATGGCAACACTGTTGATAGCGTCAGCTGTTATGGTGGTGGTGGTCACGGCCAAGACTCAATGGTGTAGTCTTGCTACAAATTACTGTATGTCTAGGATTAAAGCAAATAATTTTTCAAAAGCTAGGATCAATTAATAAAATGGAATAGGTTCCAATCCTTCATTATTCTGTTTTGTTGTGATACAGGCAGGGTTGGTAAGACCATGTGGTCATAGTTGCATTGCTCCACAACAATAGCAATGACTTGCAAGATACCAAGATTTTTTTTTTTAAATAAATTTGTCCAAGATTCACGTCGATATTCAGACGCGTATTTACTCAGCTGTCTGGTACTTGGGGAGTTTACTGTATGTTGACATGAAAGTCTGTTATATCAAGGGTCTGTTAGATGTGAAACCCCCATTAAGCAGATTACATGGAGAGAAGAGTCTATACAGTATCATATTTTAAAATTTGCACCTAATGTTTCTCTGGGCATGCTACACTGTCCTAAGGGCAAAGCTGTACTGTACATAAACTCAAAATAATGTACTAAATGATTACTAAAATTTTTGTCTAGTGCAAATTATAGCATGTTTAAATTCAAATTAATCACTATCTTATAAGAATACCAGCAATGTAAATTATATTCTCCCTCATCACTTCTGTGGCATTTTATAGACAAAAAACAAAAACTCAATCTAAAGGACACAAATAAACAAATAAATACTTCACTAGACCTTCCGAGCCAACTGTCAAACATGTCACCTCCCCCCCCCCATTTTCCCAGCAAGGGTTTGGTGGTTTTAGGCAGTTTTTATCTTATATAATATCACAGACTAAAGTTAGGAGAATATAGTTTGCATTGCTAGAATCCTTGCAAGACAGCGAATAATTTGAATATAACGTCATTTATTTTGCACAAGAGATAAAATTTTTAGCCCTTTGTAATAAAATTAATTAGAACATTTTACAAGAGAAAAACTTAAAGTCAATCTTAAGGACAGATAAACAAATAAGCACAAGACCTTGGCATCAACTGTCAAACATATCACCTCACCTCCCCCCCAACTTCCCAGCGAGTAAACAGACCATTTCACGTCCCATAATTTTAGCTGTGTTGATTTATGAGTGTTTGTTTTAACATAATACTACAAAAAACAATGTTTTGTTTATTCTAGGAGATGGGCTGAGGTGCATCTGGTTAGACTCTCAGTCTTTTTAGTATTTTGTGTTTCTATCAAGTACCAAGCTAAATCATTCCACTGAAACAACACTTCGATTTAGTGCGAATTTGGTATAAAGCGACCTCTCTTGGAATGTATCTCTAGTTACATCGACGTTCAACTGTATATATGTATGTTTCACTGTATAAAGCATTTTCAACTCTTTATTTCAGTATTTTTTTTTGACTCAGTGGCATGCACACATAATCAGCATATAATCCTACATATAGAAAGTGAAAAAAAATCACTTTTTTACTTTTATCCGCTTCGCCACTGATCGGCTCGTTAGCCGCTTGGGTAGTCGGTAATGTCTCCGATATGTACAATTGGCAAATACGTACTGGCAATGCACTGGCTCCTGAATTTACAGGAACCTGTTCCAGTGTTGGTCGAGTCTGGCCTTGAATGAGCTCACACTCGGTGCTGTCACAACACACACTGGCAGATTGTTCAAAGAGTTAACAATTCTCACTCCAAAAAAGTTTGCCCTCACAGTTTTTTGGGCTTGTGGCTTCTTCAACCTTGAGCTGTGTCCCCTTGTGGGGTGGATGTCCGCCAGCTCCAGGTAAGGGCACTCAACTAAGTAAATTAGTGTGAAAAGATAATATCATACGTGCCAGTGTGAGCGCTCAGACCCATGAAAGACATCTCGCTTCTAAAGGTCCGTGTAATGACACAAATAGTGTCATCAGCGGGCAAAAGGTGTTAAAGCTGCTTTTATGGATGAATCTTGTGATCTGAACAGTCTTCACAGCCAGTTACAGAGGGTATGCTATACATTTTAGGCCTGGTGCTCCATATTCCGGAAAACCTCCTATACAGCAACTTCCAGGTGCCAAGCATGTCGGATAAATGGTTCCATACGTGTAGATATCATACTGTATTGGATGATGAGTGTAATTAACAAATTATAAAGGGGACAAGGTCTAAATAATCAAACTTACCTCTTCTCCTGCAAGACAATGTCCTCTGAGAAAGTCCAAGCAAATTGGTGCAAAGGGATTGACTCTTACATGGCGATAAGGGCAACCATCACGAGTACATGTGGCTCGAACAAAGTGTGAGCAAACAGGCATCTTGTCTGGGTCCACTGTGTGGGAGAATGGGCAGTTGTTCACAGGACAACGACCTCTCAAGAACCTGTAATGAAAGAGTTTATTAATTTTTATCAATAAAAAATCTTGGCATATCAACATAGTATATCTATTATTTGTCATCAAAATGGAAAAATGATCAGTGCATTTCCTTCACGACACTACTGAAGTAATCATATCTGAGCTACAAAAAATATTTGATTGAGTGTGGTAATTACATCGTTGCTGATGCAACAGCTTAGGTCATGTGTTGCTGAATTAAAGTAAAAGCTTAGAAGGCTAAAACTCTAAGCTTATGCAGAAGGCCGGCTTTACAAAGGAGAGGACATCCCCTCCCATGCTACCCAATCCCTTCCCACAGCACCAAAGAGAGATAGCAAGTCCGAAGTCATCCACTCTTTGGGGTGACTTTGGAGACCTATAAATCTTCTCTTCATAGAAAGTGTATGCTGTTTCCTGAATTTCTGCTGACACATATGGGTTACTCATTAGTTAAAGCACCAATAGCATTACTTTATATATGCTTTTAGCTTTCAAACTTAAACTGCAGCTTAAAAATACCTCAAAGACTGTCTGGCACAGTAATGTACAGAGTGCTCTCACCTCTTATAAATTAGTAAGATGATACATATACAGTATTTCACTTACCTTGTACAAATAGCAACTCTCTGTGGATCATGAATATATGGGCACTGTCCTTTGTCTTTTTTTGTGCATCGTCCAAATCGGTTAAAGAAGATGCAGTGCTCATTACGCTTCTGCAGGATGCCTTTCTTCTTCCTCTGTGAGAGTGTCATCATGCTGCGCTGCTTTGCCGAGCTGTTAATGAAGGTAGGAATTTACTGAAGAGGCACAATATTTGAAATGCACTATTATTACCTAGTAACAACTTCTGTATTACATCAAATTACACTTGTTGATAGAGCAGTGATATCTCTGTTAGTCGGAACAATTGGTTCAGAGCACTTCTGGGAAAGAGAGACTTCCAGGTAACGTGACAACTCAAAGCCCCCTCCCCCCATGGTGTCCCCATGATGCTACATAGTGAATGAGTTGCTACAGCATCATGTGAGGCCCCTCATAACACCATCTGTGAGGGAATTACTGCACCACATCAGGCTGTGAGGGAATTACTACACCAGGTGAGGTCCCTCATAACACCATCTGTGAGAGTTACTACAAGACACCTCAGTGCACATGAACTAGGTGACCACTGTAAACATTAATTTGTATGTTCCTTTTCCTTTCTCTAATGAAGGCTTTTTGTTACCCCCCCTCCCCCCATGTCTTCGGGCTGCAAAACTTTTTCAATAAACTGTTAATTATTATTATTATTACACACGCATGCACGCACACACAAAATAATGGGAAAATTCTCTCAAATAATCAGAAACAAAAAGACAACAAAATGTACAAGGAATGTGAGTCTACCCTCAAGTCAACTCCATGCTTTGTTATTACTCAACTTTAATAAAAAAGCACAGAGTTGACTTGAGGGTAGACTTATTTTTCCTACATTTTGATACATTTTGTTGTCTTGTTTCTTATTATTTGTGAGAGGAATTTCCCATTATTATTTAATTGGATGTGTTGTGTGTGTAATAATAATAATAATAATAATAATAATAATAATAATAATAATAATAATAATAATAATAATAATAATCATAATCATCAACGGTTTATTGAAAAAGTTCTGCAGCCCGAAGGCTGAAAATATACGTTGGACATAAATGAATTATTACATACATTGGTGGTTTAACAAAAGCCTTCATTAGAGAAAGATAGAGAAACATACAGTGAACATACAGATTAATGTTTACAGTGGAGGTCACGTAGATCTTGTTCGCTGAGGTGTTGAACAGCAGACACGTAGTGTAGTAATTCCCTCACAGATGGTGTTATGAGGGGCTTGACGTGGTGTAGTAATTCCCTCACAGATGGTAAAATGAGGGGGTTTGATGTGGTGTAGTAATTCCCTCACAGATGGTGTTATGAGGGAGGTAGGTAGGTGTGTGTTTGCCTAGACACACACACACATACATACATACAATACAGGTCAAAGAAATAATTGTCCTAAGGGCAAGCAAACATAAAAGGAATACAATTTCTTTGCACATGAGTAAAAATGTAACCACCCCCCACCTCCTGGTCAGCAAATGATATTCATGGATTTGGCTATTCGTGGCCATTTTGAGACCCAAACCCCAGTGAATTTTAAGGGCATGCTGTACTGTTTTAATCCATAAGAGATACAATGATGTTCGGGGAAAATAGATATACAGTACAGTACTGTATGTGTTTTTTGCGCACTGTACAGCAGTTATCGGGTTAAAACTGTTGCACAACACAAAACAGATGCCTCTAAAAGATAAACACTTAAGCTTACAGATGTTGAGGAAGAGAAATTCATATTGAAATAAAAATCCTAAACAAAGTTCCCTGGTTAAACGAGGATGGATTTTCATGGAAGAGTACAGAAGGAAGCCTTTCTCTTCTAGTGGGACTTATCCAAGGCCACACTCAAATTCTTAAACACCATTGTCCTATCAGTCAATGCCATCTTTCCCTGATATCAAAAACCTTGGATACCCATTCTGGTCTAAGAAATTACTGAAACATCTGATGCCATTTTCACAAGTGCAAAAAATAATTACAACTAAATTAAAGAATACAGTACATACCTCACGACTGCCCTGGCTTGGTGGGTCTGTGTCAGTTCATACTGTCCAGCCTTGGTGCGTGAATATGTGAGACCTCCGATGTGAACCCTCGGAAGACTGTGTTTAGAGAATGAAGAGGCTGACCCATCTTTAACACGTTTCAAGGTTCGTCCTCCAGCACTTAGTTGGAACTGGTCACCACGAAGCCACACAATGCATTCATTTTCTATGAGAAATCAAGGTTACTAATAAATATCATACTCTGAAATACACTTAAAAAAAAATAGATACTGTGAGTGAAAAGGAACAAGAACATAATTAAAGTATTTACCTAAACATGATTATGCCACACTACATTCAAAACAATGTGATTCATGTAGAGTGGGTGGGCTGAGCTTTCTGTAGGGAAGTGGACAAACTTGATATGTTGACCAGTTTAGGTTAGTGTTTCTCTTCTTTTGAGGGAAATATCATACATTAATTTCTTTGTACAGTACAGTAGAACGTCGATTTAAAGCGATTCAATTTAAGAATATTGATTTAAAGCGACACCCACAATTAAGTTATGTAACAATGTCTCAACGGACATGTGAAATGGTGTATTTTGGATTATAATAGTAATGAAATGGAATTTCTAATTTAACTAGAACTGCAATTATGGACTCTGGGGGTTTAGAATCAAGGAAAAATCCTCAGCACCCAGGAACATTCCAGAGAAGTGGACCAATGTCCGTCTGTGCAAGATGTCTAGTTTACACACTCGGAAACTTTTCCCAGTAACCGGAAAAGATTTTGGGGATAAGGAATTTTTCCGGTTTTGAGAGAGTCGTCTGATTAGCGAGAAATCTCTGATCCCCGGAAGTGCTCTGCACCAATTGTTCTGGCTAACAGGGATATCACTAGTATTATATTTTCCACAACTTTTATAGTTTCATGACATGTAACAAAGTCCACCTGCCATCTCACAGGCCACCTTATCCCAATTTTCCCCCCTTCCTAGTAAGTCAAGCTATCACTAAACCAAATTTTGACCTAACATTAAGTGAAAAAGACTGTCAAAATGCTATTATCGCTAAACCGAATTAACATTAAGTGAATTACTGCTAAACGAGGGATATCTGTACAAGGAAAATCATAATCCTGTATGTGTTAAATATAATAAAAGAAAAGACAAAGAATAAACATAAGAAAGGTTTGAAATGTCAGCCAATAACTTCATAACACTTTTGTATTTGACAAATCATAAAGAACTGGGTATTGGCTGAGTACTTGCCCATGTGGGTGAATGTTGAATGACTGTGTTAATAAAAAATAAAAAAATTCTCAGAGGACCCTATTTTCAATTTAAAACTTTACATTTTCAGACTGGGTTCCTCCAATTAGTCTAGAACTGTGAGAACTTCAGTGAGTCTGGAGTCCAAATCATTCAAAAATATTATAGCACTGTCATCCAAGGACCTAAGAGTCTTTAACCCCATTGGGATGAATAAATACTAATGGACAAGATCCATACACTTAAAATTCTACCCAAATTTGTTGAAGTTACAAAGCAGTTTACCTGAAGCATTTGCAGCACTCTCCTGTGTTGTCTTTGATAACTGTTTTCTTAGTGATGTTTTTGTTGATTTGTAAAGAATCCCTCCAATATTGATGATTCTATCTGAATGTTTAATTACAGCTCTGTAAAGTGAAAGAATTTCTTTAGAGAGTTGCAGGTTTCACAGTGAAAGGTGGTTACTGTACAGTAGGTTATGTATATAAGCTACTGTGCCGAGTAGCAACCCTGTATATAAGCTACTGTGCCGAGTAGCATTTATATATATCATCACGTGGCAACACTGCACGTTATGTGGCAACATTGCCCCGAGGCTGCCTTGCCATATGGCAGCCTTGGGGCAATGTTGCCACATAACGTGCAGTGTTGCCACGTGATAATATATATAAATGCTACTCGGCACAGTAGCTTATATACAGGGTTGCTACTCGGCACAGTAGCTTATATACATAACCTACAGTTACAGGTTAGAAGATGAAAAGGAAGAAAAATTTGATCTTGAAAATCCAATGAACTGTATAGCAGCCAGTGAGGGAAATGAAATCGCTCATTTACCTGTGACAAGATTACCATGATAGGAGAGAGTAGGACATATCATACCACCACACAGCCCATATTTTCTATTACGAAGATCACACCTAATCTGAAAATTTTAAAATTAGGTTGATGGTAACAAACCCCTCACTCCAGCCAATCTCTGAAGAAATTCCAGGGAGGCTGGTTCCATTATAAAATGAATTTGGGGACTGAAAACATCATTTATAATGTGGTGTTAATTCAGAGGGCATGTGCAGTACATATTGTATGCCTTTTTATTTTAGGATGGTGGTAAAAATGAGAGAAGGGTTGGTTGGTTGGTTTAACCATTTGTATTAATGATTAACCCAATCGAATTTGAGGGATCCTATCTGAAGACTAATGGTCGCTCTAATAAGTTGCTCTGTATTATCAGAGCTACCTGGCAGAGGATGTTAAGGCAGAATTAAAAAACTTTATATGCAAAGGACATAAGGAATACCTATATGGAATACTTAATGAACAAAATGTTCTAGGAGTGAATAACTATTCTTCGTATGCAGGATTTCAACGGTCTTCATAAATTTTTCAAATACTGTAGCTACTTTACATTGAAATCTATTTCATGTCACAAAGAGCAAACCTTTATCCATTCACGGTATAAGCAACATCTTTATTACATGAAACCTTTAATTGAAAAGAAAATAGTACAGGTACTTACCCCTTTCTTGTTGTATGTGAAAACTTGTATTTCTTCTCTGGCTTTGACAGGTGACTACAATTCCTTAAATCATTCTTCCTTAAAATTTCTGAGGACTCTAACTTCAGGCGATTTATCTTATACTTAGAAATGATGCCTCTGGCAGCCTTTTGCCTGGAGGACAGTTTGACACAATTGTTGACAATCTTGTACACTGTATTTATATTCCTTCCACCCGATGCACTTAATATCTTTGGTGACCAACACCCTGATTTGGCACGTGCATTTCGCACCAGTTTATGTCGTTTTATAATTGTTTGCACACCTCGAATACCTGGGCCAGATACAATTGTATTTTTTAGAAGCTTAGAAGTTTTGTTCATACCCGATTCTGACTTTCTTCTGACTAACTTGGTTTTGGATAGTATGGAAAATTTCTTATTTTTTTCAAAAACTGATTTAATGACATTAGTCTTCGTTTCTTCATCATTTGTGAGGGATTTTGAATTACTGGTACTACTTTGAGAACATCTTCTAACAAGTTTAGTATCAGTCTTTATGAAATACCTTGGCTTCCCAGATATTCCATCTCCATTTGAACTGCTGGTGTTAGAAAAGCTTCTAATAAGCTTAGTAGGTGACATGACAGAGTATCTTCTCTTGACATTTGCCCGAGTACCTGTTGAAAATCTTCGAGTTCTTGTTGGAAACTTGAGAGGTCTAGGAACACTTTTAACCTTTGGAGTGTAATATGGCAATATTAAAGAACTGGTTTCAGATGATTTTGTCTTTGCAGCTACTTCTATTGCATGTCTGGATGAGCTGTCTGAGCTTTGACGTACAAGCTTCGTTTTAGAGATAACTCTATACCCAATATTTCTCTTAAGAGCCTCTGAATTTCCTTTCAAGTCTCTAATTTTGGGCTGAATAGAGAGCGAAGAAGTTTGGCTAGATGAGCTACCAGATAGTCGTCTTACAAGCTTTGTTTTCGAGACAACTTTATATTTACCATTCTTCTTAAAAGCTTCCGGAGTGGTCTTTGTAACATTGTATCTAGGGTGGACACCACATACTGCAGTTTGGCTTGAAGAGCTAGTAGACCGTCTCCTTACAAGCTTTGTTTTTGATAGGACTTTAAACTTACCATTTCTTTTAGAAGCCTCTGAAATTACCATTGTATTATTATTTTTCAAAGTAGATAAAGATGCAATTCCATCTGCATTTGCTATTATGCTGGAATGTGACAGATTGTACTGCGGTTTAGCCGATACTTTGGATATTTTATCTTGGGAACCATTACTAGACAAATATCTTAAAAGTTTTGGGTTTATGAGTATATTTGAATTTCTGGAATTTTGGGTCACAGTTTTTGAGGTCTCTACAAACTTACCCATATTATTTCTCCCCTCTCCCTCCGAATGGACTTTGCTTTTACTGAGAACAGCTTCTGAACTTTTGACAGCATTAAACTCACTATTTTTCATTTTGCTTATATCAGATGTTCCCGTCACACAGAAATCATTGATTCTTACTGTTTCTTCAGTCTTTGGAAAAGCATATTTCTTATTGTCATGATAAAGATTATTTTTCTTATGTTTCAATACAGGTAACTTATTGTTATCACTGTTGATTTTCATCTTTTCTTCTGTACGGGACACTTTAGATAATGGCTCAATGGGAGGTTTGTCCAATGCCTTTCTATTTGGAAAATTTTGGTTGTAAAACTTATGGGAAGAAGAGTTATCAGAAAAGACTGCAGTCTGTATTTTCTGATTTATAGGCTGACTCACATTATGCAAGTCAGTTGTAAATTTAGTACCTCCTGCCTTCCAGGAATAAACACAAGACTTCCTTCCTTTCTTTGTTTGTGTTGATGTTGAATACTGGGTTGTTCTCATTCCTCCAGTTTGGGAATGAATATTTATATTATGATATTTTTGATAGTTAGAACTATTCACTGTAGGAACATATGACTTTGTAGTACCTAATGCATGTTCATGACTTGGAGGTTCTTTCAGAAGAGGTGAATGCATATCATTTTCCTTTACTTTAGGTCTTTGAGAACTAGTGCAGGTATTATTTTCCGGTCCCAAAATGCACTGACCTAATGTTCCAACACCATTTACATGCAAAAAACTTTCTACTTGTTTTTGAACATGATGACTACTGTTAATGTGTGCCAATTGTGTACTGATAGTCTTTAAAAACTGCTCTCCTAATTCAGCAGCTTGGGATTTTTGAAAGAAAGCTGGATTGACATGAACCTTTGGCTTCGCTTGTACTCTTGATGAAAGGAAATCTGTGTTGAAGTGAATACTTTTCTGTTCTTTTTCATTTGCCATCCTTAATTATTCTGAAAAAAAAAAAAAATCAATTACAGTTCAACAAGACATGAGAAAATAGTGTCACACTCACATTAAAACACAATACCCTGTACAGTACAGCACAGTAATATCTCACCATTCCTGGAATGGGAACAAGTTTCCAAAGATGGAATCGTTTGCATTTCCAGAAAATTCAAAGAAAATTTTCCAGGAGTTCCAAGAGATTGTATCATGCTCTGATGGCTCCCTGCATGTCGGGCACGTGAGTGGGCTAGCTGCTTAGGTAACTTAGGGTGTAGGCTCATGTGCTGCAATTGGTTAATTTTGTACTGTCATGTGGCTGTATGGGATGACTGCGATTAGCTGATACATCTCCAAGCTTATCCCCCCAAACCCTAACATCATGACAAGCTTAGTTCATAGTCTATTGCCATGTACAAGGTTGTTCCCTCACTTGCTGATGTTTTTACATACAATTTGTTTTGTGCAGTACACTTGGACTATACATTACTGTACCAGAACAAAATCAGCCCAAAACTTAGTGTTAAAGCAGTGTTAAGATATAAACAGAGATTACAGTGTATTTTAGTGTAACTTTCATTCTGTAAGTGTGGACAGCATTTGTGTACTGTAGCCTAGTGTGTAGTGTTTGTATGTACAGGCAACCCCTGCATTATGGAAACCCTTCCATAACCTGGGGGATGCCTGTACAGTAAGTCCCCGTTTAACGTTGTTTCGTTATAACGTTGCTACTCTTTAGATACCAATAATTCAGTTATCGTCCCGACGACTCAATATAACATCGTCTTTGCGTCTTCACGGACCACTTTGTATGGCGCACCAATCTCTCTCATCTTGCTGCGTTACACTCTATCAGCTTGGAGCATTACCTCTCATTCGTGGAACGTCACACAGCGTACCCAAGCAACGCCAGTCTTTGTTAGGCTTCCACAGCATTCTTACATGTTCAAGTGTTTGTGCTCGTAATCCTGTACTCTAACAATAAATGGCTTCCAAGCGTCCATCAAGTGCTACATAAGACCATTAGCCTTGCTACGAAAATGGAGGTTTTAACCAGTTTTGAAAAAAGGGAACGTGGGGTGGACATTGATGGTGCACTTGGACTAACTCCCCACAACAGTGCGTACTCTCCGGACCAACACGGACAAGATTAAGGCTAGTGCTGGAAGTGGTAGTTCTCTGAGTGTAACAAAGACAAGTCGTACTCAAAGTTTTGTGAAAGAAAAGATGGAAAAGATGCTGGCTGTGTGGATGGAGGACCAGAATCAATGCAATGCCCCTGTGAGCCTTATGGGTATCCAGCATAAAACAAAATCCTTGTTTGACGACTTAAAGGCAGAAGAGGGCGAAGGATCAAAGGAAGAGAACTTTACGGCCAGCCGAGGATAATTTCAAAGTTTTAAGAACAGTTATAACTTCCATAACATTAAGATGACTGGGGAAGCTACTCAGCGAAGCAAGTCTTTAATGTGGATGAAGACTGGTCTCTTTTGGAAGAGGATGCCAGATAAAACCTATATCTCAAAGGAAGAGAAATGAGTGCCAGGTTTTAAAGCGGGAAAAGACCGTTTGACGCTGCTGCTTGGTGCGAACGCTGCTGGCAATTTCATGCTGAAGCCTATGCTAATTTCTCGCACTGTCAACCCACTGGCCCTGAAAGGTTACTCCAAGGATCACCTTCCTGTCATTTACATTCAGTCTTGCATTTAGGACACTTTACTGAGGTTGGAAGAACACCATGCGATCGAAAAAATGCTATAGTTTCTTCGTTTTTTCCCAAAAACTCGCAATCAGCTCCATATAATTGAAGTGACACCCATAACAGACTTCCATGGTCGGAAATGAATTTAAATTTCGAAATATGAGACCCAAAATAAAAATCGATTTTGATTGGGCCAAAAATACCACGAATTAAACCACAAATCATTTTAATTGGTTGCAAAAAAAGAAAAAAGCTTTTGACTGGTTGCGTGACATGTACGGGAACGCATGTGAGCGATTTATGAAGGAGACACGCAGGAGACACGCAGTGTGGGGAGGTGAGCTAGGCGATAATGGCAGAAGATTAATGGAAGAAAATATATAAAAAAATTTGATACGCTACCTCCGTTATTATACATTTGCGACGGTAATGTAATAGATGAAAATTATCTTATAATTAGACGTCTTATTAGAATATGATAATAGATTAGTGGTAGGAATGTGGAATGTGAAAACGCAAAAATACCTGAATGACCCTAACCCGAGCCCCAGACTAAGGGTTAGGTTAGGTTTTGTTAGGTTAGAGGACTCATTTTCGTTTTCTTTCCCACCCCAAGAAAAACAATTACCCAGGCTCTCCCCCCATTATTGTTTGGGGAGGGGTGGGAGGGGACGAACAATTTCCGCCATAAAGGAAGGTCAGATTCGTTTAAAACACACCAAAATACACTGAAAAAACGGGGGGAAAACATAGGGACCGGTCCGACTAATTACCCAAATGTACCCATATGTAGCAAAATATAGCCGCAATGAAGTCAAATGATGGTCGTGCAAGCGTAATTCGGGCTGTGAATCACTTCTCGATTATTATTTGGTGTCATAAAGTAAAAAAAATTGGTAAACTTAATTTAATCTGAGTTGTGTTGTGTTAGGTTAGATTAGATTAGATTAGGTTAGGTTAGATTAGGTTAGGTTATGTACATGCACTTGATCTATTAACTCAGATTAAATTAAGTTTACCAATTTTTTGTGACTTTCTAACACCAAATACTAGTCGAGAAGTGATTGGCAGTCCGATTTATTCATGTAGGACCATTATTGGACTTCATTCCGGGTACATTTGGGTAATTAGTCAGACCCCATAGGAACTCTTGTCCTAAAGTAAATATTTACCATATATACAAGTCTTCAACATACTCACGTAACAGCAGAATATACTCCAGTATATTTAATGTCCGATCAACCACCTGTTTTGGGTCACATAAATAATAAACATGTGAGTATTGCCATCAGCGTACAGACAACACCTGGCCTTGATGCCTCCATATGTTACCACACATAGGCGAATTCGTCCTTTCTAAAGTCTCAACAAAGGCAGCAGGGCATTAAAAATAAACATTATAAGAAACTTGTAGTGTTAAGGGAGTAATTCAATCCCTATAAGGTGGATGCTCAGACTGGTGATAGTACTGGACCGCCTGTGTGGTAGGTGGCGTGGGAGAAACAAAGGAAATGAGATGTAAGGTTTCATTCAATGACGGGTGGTTTAATTTGTCCTAAAACTAAGGAAAATGTAAGTTCATAGTTCATGTGATTGATTCATAAACAGTAATGGTTAAATTACTATTTACTTAATCATTTCACCACTTAGCTTACTGGCCATTCGGGGAAACATTCTTCCTACCAGTCTACCACTGTTACGTGTATAAATACTTCCATTAGGTCTATTAGGGTAGGACTACTATTTCATATAAATGTAAGAAAGCCGAGCTCTTACCTTTTTTTCTAATGCTTTCCCACATATTTAATTTCACATTTGAAAAAAAGGAGGCCTTAAAACTACACCAAACTACATGAAAAGGGGGTGATACTGAATAATGAAATTCATAATACTGATATTGAAACAGTTTATTTAGCCAGTAAAATACAGATATTGTGGATAATAACAATATTAACATTGCTGAGCCAGTTGAGAGCCTGGGCTCTCTTGGAGGGCCACCAGACTGGTGCCTGCACTTCGGCACCTCAGCTACCCTGAGAGATTGGAGCGCCTGAACTTTTTTACTTTTACTTTTATCCTCTTCGCCACTGATCGGCTTGTTAGCCGCTTGGGCGATCGGTCACGTCTCTGTCACGCACTGTTGGAAAATACTGGGCATGCACCGGCTCCTGAATGTACCTGAACCCGCTCCAGTGTTGGTCAAGTCTGGTCTTGAAAGAGCTCACACTCGGTGCCGTCACAACACTCTCTGGTAGGTTGTTCCAAGAGTTTACAACCCTCACTCCGAAAAAGTTTGCCCTCACAGTTTTGTGTAATGTCCACGGTCATACACGTCAGTTAACGTAAAATCAGACGATTCATATTACGCCCAATAGCCCACAAAACATGTAGCTAGGCCTTCCTTAAGTCCCCCGTCTGAGGAGTCCATTTTCTCATTACTTCAGGACGCCTGAGTCCTCCGTTTTCTCTCAATCTTAGAGTGCACCCGAGACTTCATTATTCCTGAGTAATGACAAAATTTGAAACTGCAACTGTGGTTGCAATTGTTGAGGCAACTTAGATATGTCTGATTACAGTTGGAACATTCAAGATCCATTGTGTATGGTGTTGAAAGCTTCAACTGTTCTTATTGTTTGTAAAACTTGTCAAGTAAGTGAGTGTCGAGTTTGTCAGTATGAATGGCATATCTTTATATCGTCCGTGGGGATAGCCATGAGTTCCAAGGTTTACTGAAGTTAGATTATTGTGATGCCCAAACATCAGAGAATCGGATGTTCGTAGTTCAGTTAGTGTCAGTTGTCTATTTTAGAAAGTCATTAATCTACTGAAAAGATTTTGTCAAACTCAAAATCTCCAAGACCTAATGGCTCTTCTCAGGAACAACTCCTTGGCTGTGGTTTGTGGTTTCTGGCAAGCAAAGTTGTTAGAGCGTATTTAATGTCCATTTCACCTTTTCCTGAACAAACTCAATCTCGGATTAGATTATAAAGACAGACTTGGAAAATTAGCCTGGCCTGTGACACTGACGTTCATAGCTAAATGTACAGCGACCCAGTTGAATATAATTTTGGTTGTTGGTGAGATTAACCATTCTGGTATGTATGCGCGAGCCGGGACTGCCCCAAGCTCACGTATGTACAGATGTGCGAGGAAAAGTCACACATTCGTGACTCTTTCTCAACGCATCTCCAGGTATGTAAACGATTGTTCCCGCTGCCAGGTTAAGTCAATTTAACCTAGTCGATTTTGTGAATATCAGTGTTCATGTTGTAACAGTGAAATTATCATTTACCCAGTGAAAGGATAAATATAACGTAAATGTTGTCTGTCGTTGCCAGACGTATGTTTTGTATAGTTGAAGTTAGGCATTTAAACATTCGTGACTCTTCCTCAACGCATCTCCAGGCACTGTTTGTATTGTCACCACTATCGAGGTGCGGTAGCTGCCTATGGGCAAGATGGTCCTTGAAGGATGTCTTTAATATGGCGAGATAAGAATACGAGGACAAGATTATACAGAGAACGCCATGTGGAGACACTGCACGAGTCTACCCCCCCCTCGCCCCACCCCAGGCGCTCCTTGCGAGCGAGCTTCTGCTCGGCTGGCGTAAACAGCTCCCGTCCCTAGTGGACACAGTCTTGTCCGTCCATTGATCTTCGTCATATGTACCGAGCAGTATTGGTATTACCAGTAATACTGTGTTGTCAGGGCTGTTGGGAGTGCATCCTCCATATGGCCTACTAGCTGAGTTCTATCTAGTATTATTTTTGTACATGATTGGAAATAACTAGCAGAAATTTAGTTATCCCAGGTTGAGTAGTGATCCCATAACAATTGATAGTATCAGTAAATATGTACGTGAGGTGAGTGCATCAACTGACGGAGACGTGCCATGTTATTCATGCCAGAAGAACATGATGTTATAAGTTAATTTGGGATATTGTCAAGTGTGTCATATAACCATCTGTATTAGCAATAGAAGTTGTTTAATGATGTAATAAGAATTGAAGATTTAATTTGTTACTTGTAAAGTAAGACTTAAGGGTCTGGTCTGAGTGAACATAATTAACATCTTATTCACTCCATATGTTAATAAATATTAAATTAGTAAACTACAAGTATCACCACTCTATCCTTTCTACACATTGGTTCTCTGAAAATAACTAGTAACTCACGTGCTTAGACACTCGCTAACACGCTACCTAACAGTTCCATGAGATATATTATATTCTAATCAAAGTCTGGGTGGTGGCAGGCTACCGTGGTAAGTATAATAAGTGTTGTAATAAGAATAACACGGTTCCCAGACTAATCCATGGTTTAGAATATAACCAGAACAAGATATATACTTCTAGAGAGAAAGACATAGAATATGAAATTATTAAACTACTGTATGCACACCAGAAAAGAATATAAAAGATAGACATGAGTAAGTAAACAAGAATTTAAGAAAGAAGAAAATTGGTATATAAGTATTGAAGAATAATAACTCTAACTAAAACAGGACACTTATTGAAAAGAATAAATATTTGAAATAAGTATATGAATAAATCTGAAGAATAGTATGAAGTAAGGAAAGTCACTCCCTTACATCTGAACTTGCGGCTTCTTCAATCTTGAGCTGTGACCACTTGTGGGGGCGAGCGTCCGCCAGCTCCATGTAAGGACATTCGACAGAGTAATGCCCTTTGAGATGCTTGCACACCTCAATTAGGTCACCCCTTGCCCATCTGTAGTATAAGCTAGGCAAGTTCAGGCACTCCAATCTCTCAGGGTAGCTGAGGTGCCAAAGTGCAGGCACCAGTCTGGTGGCCCTCCTTTGAACATTTTCAACCAACTGACAGTCCCTAGTATATCTCGGGGACCAGACGGGGTGACAGTACTCCAGATGGGGAAGGACTTCACTCATGAAGATCGTTACGAGGGACGGACCATCTAGATATCTGAACGACCTTCTTATAAGACCCAATAATTTATATGCCTGATTTACCTTCCTCTCGCAATGGCCCCCTAGGCCCCGTTGTGGGTCGATGACCTGTGCCGAGGTAGGCTATTCCCCGTAAAAAAAAAAAAGTACAGTATTGTAATTATTATTCCACAACTTTTATAGTTTCATGTAATAATGGCAACATGCCATTTCCATTGATGTTATTCTTCATTATCCTCCGTTTAGGATATTATTCCTTGTTTTGCGATAATTTTGCTTAATGTTAGGTTTACAGGAATGCATCCCATTCGTTAAATGAGGGATACCTGTAAAGACAAAATATTAACGTCACAGAAGATTGGGATTCTAATACAGTAATGGAGTTTAAGACTTTATGGTAACCAACACCAACCAGAAAAATCAAATTTATATACCGGTGACAAAATTACAGAACCTGGTGACAAATTGTCTGTTGACGAATTGTTCTAGAACCACATTTCCTGGTAATTAGAAATCACTGTCTGGGAATAGTGATTGATAATATCTTGCATGTCACTTAAAAGGAACCATAAGTCACAAAATGAGGATGAAATATAGGCCAAAAAAATAAGTCTGTTATATATTCTCCAGAGCTGCAAAGGGTTTCACACAAATAAGTTGGAATCCCTTCAGAAAGTAAATTATCTCCAAATTTTAAATACTATACAAACAAATAATGCTTTGTAGATGGTACAATATATTGTATTTTTTTTTTTTTTTTGCATTTACCAATACAATGTAGGAATAAGATGAAGAGCAAGATGGTGGAGTGATAGAAGAAACATGGGATATAAAAAGAGAATATGGGACGATGAGTTACTATCATAAACAATATAAAACTGGAGGTCATAAGAGAGACAGTGAACATACATATTCAAACTGGAATCAACAAAAGATATAATGTACACCGTGGAAAAAATATACCTGTATCTAAAAGGAATAATGAGAGCCATTAGAAAGAAAAGAAAAATCTGAGGAAATTGAAGTACAGTACAGATTGTACCTCTCTTGTCCGGCAACCTCGGGACCTGACCGGTGCCGGACCATGGACATTCACCCTCGAAACACCCTACATAAAGCATAAAAACATAAGATAGGAAATAAATAAATAAGAAATAGTAATACGGTTAAAATACTATTTCATTTACCTTTAATGCTACCATAATTCTGCTTCCAAAGTGAAGTGATGGTACCATAACTCAAATTACATTTGAGTTACATCAGGGCTATTGGGCAAACTAAAATCATTCCAGACCACGGGAGTTTCCGGACCACAGAATACCGGACTAGAGAGGTACAACCTGTACTGTATATATTGTTCTAAATTGTATTTAAATAAATTGTGACTTAATTCTAAACCTTTACTCTAGCCAATTATTATTTCCCTTTAAAGAAGTGTAGAAACTATATTTGGGAATACAGGTATCAGATACTGTACAGTAAAACATTACAAAAAAGCTTTCTACTTCAAGTACTGTACTGGTGTTATTAAACATCTTAAAGCCTGTGACATACAAAAACACTTCAGTTGAATTCTCCCAT